GAGGATGGGCAACGTGACATTCTAAGTTCTCTTCCAGTACTCATTTTTACGATTTGTGTTATAATGAACTGTAACTATAGACTAGACAAAGGGAACTTTGGGATTCATTATTAATAGGCAGAGACTGATCAACAGTTTTTTTATTTTCATGATTTCCTGCATAATGTATAGTTTTCACAACTTGTATGCAATAAAGTGCAAATATGTATAAAATGCCATTTTGAATAGTAGTGTAGAAAGGAATAAGTCAATGTAAATAGCCTTGATTTCTGTATAAGATATCATATTAATGCTACTATAAATTTCATATATAATGACTTGAGTTTATAACCTTCTCTTCCTCCCCAGGAGTTCAGCAGTCTGTGGTCCAAGGCACAGCTGCATAACTCTTTCTCAGACTTCTGAGGAAATTGCTGAGATCTGAGGAAGAGCTGTGAGAAAGTCCACAGAGCAGAATTTTGGAAGAGGAAAAGCAAAATTACAGACAGAAGTAAAATTGAGATGGACGTAGGCAGCAGTTCAGGGATTCAAGAGCAAAAACGCCATCAGGAAAACATATAAAATCCTCAGGGAAAAGCAGGGCATTGGAAGATGGCAGTTCAGCCACAATGGGGATCCATTCCAGGAGCGGTGGAAACCAACCCTACCCCACCTCACTGACAACTGCCTGGCCAGCAGACACTGTTTCTGCATCTTATTCAGGACACTGAGCATGCTAACACTTAGTTTAGTGACTCATTATTTCTAGCTATCTTTAGTGTGTAGGAAATAATCAATAACCACTATATACTTCTAGGTGATGTATATTCTGCTCGCAAAGTCTCTTTGTATCTGGCAAAAGGTGTCAAAGCAAAGTGATCCAGAGAGGGAGGAATACGAGTTCAAGGAAGTTCCTTATTAAAATTGCTGCAGTAACAATATACAAAAGAGTACTAGTACCGTTACTATATTACCAGGCATAATATCATTGGCTAGAAAAATTGTGAGGAATAAAGTAGAATGTGTTTAAGTTTATTCATCTGTAATGATATATATTTTATCCTGTTTCAACAGGGAAAATGTTTTCCAGCTGTACCAAAAGTCACCGTTGTTACTGTTTTTCCATACTTTTCTTATATCATACTAGAAATAGCCAGTAACTTGTGAACATCTGAACACTTTTAAATAACTACATTAATGTCCTATACTATATTTCTTTAAAAGATATGTCTTGTTTTTCATGATCCAAAAGGCATCTGTTTTTCTAGACATGCTGAGGGTGCAAATTTGTCTTCTCCTACTCTAGAAAGGTGGAACTTCCTAGTCCTGATCTAAATATTTTAAGAAGTCTTCTTAGAAGTAAGACAAATGTAAATACAACTAAACTTGAAATACATTTCTATGTTACAACAGTAGTAAGAATCTAATTTTAAATGCAGCTATACTGTAAGCAATGATTATGAAAATGTTATCTCCTTACACATTAATGCATGAGAGCCATATTTAATAACTTGAGTGATAAATAAGGACCAAGAAGGTTGTTTCCTATACGTAGAAAACCTCAAAGTAACATATAGTCTAATCTCAATTTTCTCTTATTGATTAAGTATGAGCCAAATAATCCAAGCTTTCAGAAGCAAGGCTGAGTTTGTAGAGCTGAAAACTGAGACGTTACTAATCACAGAATCACAGAATGGCCGAGGCTGGAAGGGACCTCTGGAGATCATCCAGTCCAACCCCCCTGCTCAACCAGGGTCACCTACAGCACATTGCCCAGGATTGTGTCCAGATGGCTTTGGAATATCTCCAGCGAAGGAGACTCCACAGCCTCTCTGGGCAACCTGCTCCAGGGCTCCGTCACCCTCACAGGAAAGAGGCTTTTCCTCATGTTCAGACAGATCTTCCTGTGTTTCCGTTTGTGCCCGTTGCCTCTTGTCCTGTCGCTGGGCACCCCGGAGAAGAGGCTGGCCTCATCCTCTTGACACTCTCCCTTCAGATACTTGTATGCATTGATGAGATTGCCCCTCGGCCTTCTCTTCTCCGGGCTGAACAGGCCCAGCTCTCGCAGCCTTTCCTCATAGGAGAGATGTTTCAGTCCCCTCATCATCTTCCTAGCCCTCTGCTGGACTCGCTCTGGTAGCTCCATGTCTCTCTTGTAGTGGGGAGCCCAGGACTGGACCCAGTACTCCAGGGGAGGCCTCCCCAGGGCTGAGGAGAGGGGCAGGATCACCTCCCTCCACCCGCTGGCAACACTCTGCCTAATGCAGCCCAGGATCCCATTGGCCTTCTTGGCCACAAGGGCACTCTGCTGCCTCATGGTCGACTTGTTGTCCACCAGGGCTCCCAGGTCCTTCTCTGCAGAGCTGCTTTGCAGCGGGTCAGCCCCCAGCCTGTACTGGAGCATGGGGTTATTCCTCCCTAGGGGCAGGACCCTGCACTTGCCTTTGTTGAACTTCAGGAGGTTCCTCTCCGCCCAACTCTTCAGCCTGTCCAGGTCCCTCTGAATGGCCGCACAGTCTTCTGGTGTGTCAGCCACTCCCCCCAGTTTAGTATCATCAGCAGACAGAAGAATGTGAGGCATTGCTATCACGTATTACCTGCAAATGAGTAATAAAAAAAAAAAAAAGTCTAGGTGAACACAGTAGTTGGTTCACGACCCAAGATGTACAAAAATGCCTAGAAACAATGTAGGTGCCTGTCATTCTAATCTGAGGGGAAATACTTTTTCGTCCGAAATCCGACAACCAGTTTTGTCCTAAGTATGTAAGTAGGATACTTAAACCAAGTGTTTGTGATGTGTTTTCTATGCTCTTTCAGATCAGTGATTCAGCATGAAACCTCATATAGGCATCATCTGTATAAGTAGACATTGTCTTTATGCAAAGTGGAGATGTTCTCAACATCTTGAGACCAAATTGGAGTGTCCTGTTCACTCAAAAGTCCATGAAGAAAGAAAACCTTTTTCTCCTTCTACTTACAGGTCATAAAATTTCTTGCAGAAGATGGATTTGAACAGAGGTGACCAATGAATGGTCTTTGAGCCATGTAAGACTCAGATTCTTCTAAATTAGCTCCCAAACCAGTTTGGTATGATCGAAATGATCGGATGAAACAAGGATGTGTTTATGTGGGAACTGTTGGACAGTTCAAATCCGTCACTGCACAAAGGAGTAAGCTGAAAATGGTTGATGAGGTTCATGCAGCTGAATTGTCCAAGAATTTTGCTGCATGTCCAGCTTGGCCCTATTCCATAGTGAATCTATGAAATTCCATAGTGGGACTCTGTGAAAATAACAACTGTAGCTCCAAGAACTACCTCTCCTGAGTTGCGTGTTAAATGTCTTAGCCACATGAAAATTGTGGAAAGTGACTTACAGATTCAGGAAATATGGTCTTGTCCAGATTAAAGCATGTATGTGAGGAAAAAAATCTAATTTTGCTTTAAAAATTGCAATTGTTCATGAGTTCATCGCACCCACGGGCTACATAACATTTCCCTTCATGAGAGTTGTTTAGTTCAAGACGGAACAATATCTCTTGGATATTATTATTTTGAGAACCTTTCCTGTCAGATATCTCTTCAGTGTGAAAATGCTAGTGAATATTCAGAAGGCGTACTTAACCCTCTCTTCTGTAAGGTGGTAGCCAACTTCTTTTTGCCTGACTAGTTTTACAGCTCCTGGATTACGTTCACAGATTTTTTTTTTTAGACTTTTGAGCATAAGTACTTTTTGAATTTTTGAAAGATGACCATTAGACCTCTTGAAATATTCTGTAGAGATTGTAATGCTGTAGACTGAGGTGCAATTAATTCTCTTCTCACACTTGATACAAAACCATGGTTTGAGTCATCTCTCTTGCGCACATCACTGCAATGAGAGATGTACTATAACAATAAACTATGAGGAACCTTAAATCCTTCTTTAAGTCATAGCTGTCCCAGACCATTCACCTATCCTGTCAGTATATCTTGTTCTTCATAAAAGTTTTTTACTTGTATTTTGCATGATTTTAACATATCTTTTGGACTGTAAGCTGTTACTTAGGTAACACATTTTGTATTGTAACTCACTATTAATTATTGTTATTAATTATTATTTTTCCATGTATTTACTGATCAAAACTTATTCATCTAAACCTCCTCTTATATGTCAACATGACTTAATATTTTATGGAAAAACTGATCATAAATGACAGAAAAGGGTCTTGGAAAAATAGGGATATCATGTTCTCTGTTGGAGTTCCAACTAGCTATGCTTACAGAAAAGAACTTGTGTTGAGAGAAACTTATGGCACAGATTACACATTAACTCAATGTAATTTTTATCTGAAGGAGGGCAGTGAAGAGGGTGGCCAACTAATGCATGATTCAACAGTCCTGAACATATGTTGTTTATTATGAACACTGAAACAATAACAGCTAGAAGTGCAATTAATTTCTTCAAACTTTTTAAATGTTTGTTGTTATTTTCATTCAAGTAGTTCCTAAAATACTGGAAAGCACAATACATTCCACAATAAAATACATAATCTATTTCAAACCGTTTAGAACCTGCACATCCATTCGAAGATCAGAAGGATACTAACTGAGAAAGCCTCCGCTGGCCATAGCTATTCCAAAGCAGTATCTAAACTGAGTCTCTTAACTCATCTTGTTGCTCTACCATTACTTAAATGAGAAAGCGTATGCACTATGGTAAAATCCTGTTTTCCTTACAGGCTAGATGAGTTATGTTTTTCTGGATTAGGATTAGAAGAAGGGAAAAGAAACAGAGTAAAGCACTCCTTTTGTGTTACTTGGTTTCATTCTCACTGCATATCCAAGAATGGATTCTCTCTTAAGTGTTACTGTTACCTGGAGCATTCAG